GTTTACACTAGTTACACTAGCTAGCAGGCTAATAACAGCCTCAGCGACTCCCATTATTAAGGGGTGGAGCTTGTTTTCCAGCTTCAATGTGCGTTTTTTCTGAGCCATTACAAGGCTACGCTATAAAGCCTGGAACTCAACGCTAATCCAGACATTTTGAATTAAGAAAGCTTCCTAGATAGGAAGCGAAACGTCTTGATACTTTAAAAACAACAACAGTGGATTCTCTCTTAACTTTAACTTTTTGGTTTGGTTTACACCAGTGGTTCACTTCCTGTCTGCATATTATTTATTTTTCTAAATACAAATAAATAAATAAAGCCCTTTTATTTATATTTTTGAATGACATAGGCATGATGTTGTGCAACTATCCAGAGGGTAAACAGGAAGTGATGGGGGAAAGTAAGTTTGCTCCTCCCTGCAAAGCCCAAGATCCAGTGTAGAAAAATGCTAAAACATTTGATTTCAAAATGGATAAAACCGAAATGGAATAAAGTCTGAAGGCTGTGAAGCTGTGTCGCCAGCAGATGGCGCCACGTCTGTTTACGTCTGCTCAATTCACCCGGTGCTGGAATCTGATTTAGGCTAAAAAATGACTAAACTTTATCAGGACGGATGCTTGGTCTTTTTTTTTTAAGGCATAAAAAACATGACTTTGAACCTTTAATCTGCTTTTCCTTTGCGTTTTAAAGCAGTTATTATCTTCCAACAGCTGGAATATTGCTGCTGGAGCTCTGTCACATGTGTTAGCAACTAGTGTTGACAAGTTAGATTCTTTGTTTCTGCATCAAACTCAGTCATCAATGTTGCATTTGTCAAAAAACAAGAGAATATCTCTATTTGGGATACACCATAAATTTTGGTGTTTTATTTAAGCCATTAATTCTGGAAAACGTTTCTCTATAGGAGGATAAAATTAATCAAATTGTACTATTAATCCCAAGCAATGGATATCTAATTAAAGCCACACAAATTGTACAAATCTAAATGTTGTTTAGTTTTCCTCTTGATCTAAAGGTAAATCCTCCTGCTGCAAAATATGGATTTAAAAAAATGGATTTATTAATAGAATATTTTATGATGTTTCCTGGAATCGTAGTTTTTGGTGCTGTAGTCCTCATCACCTCCCCAATTAATCAGGAAGCATTCTTTTTTAAATCTCATCACTGTTAAAGTTGTAATTTCTCCTGCCTTTAGACCTTTAATGAAGTTTGGCCTAAAGATTCTGCATCTGCTGCTCGCTCAGGAGAGCGATCATGTCTTTAGGAGCATTTTCCCGTATTTTATCGGTTTCTTGATGCTTTTCATTCTTCCTTATACTCGGTTTGCACGGGGTTAGCTCCTTGTGTTTGTTGCCAAGTAATCTTTACCTTTGAGTAATTATTTTTGTGTAAATGTGTAAAACTGAATTTCATGGTTGTAGCGGCCAAAGTGAACTTTTAGTTTAAATTCTTAAAAATGCTTAAAAGGACAGATAACAATTTAATTTGAATTTCTAATTTAATAGATGGATATATTTCATGATAAAAATGATAAATATTTTATGTACAAAGTTAAAAGAATAAGAATTCATGTTTATAAGGTTACTTAGATTTTGGATTAAAAAATGTGTACCGTCGCTTTAAGGACAGACGAGCCGGCTTCCTCATTGCAAGGAACCGTGGAAGCGAACAGTTGCTCTTCAACTTTATGACACTTTAAACCCTTTTATTTTCATCATAGGATATTTTTGTTAATTCATGTACGTTTTGTAAGCTTTAAGAAGAACACTAAACTTCAGTTTTCATCTTCAAGACGTTGTGGAGTAGATTTATTTCAATTACATGGACGTTCACAGTGGAAAAGGTAACTTTGGTTCGGAGAATATCAGCGTAATAAATGGCACTTTCCTTGCGGTCTCGCCAAGATCAAACCTCTACAATGGTTATAGAGACAACCTGCTGATTTAAAGGTGCTCTTCCTCCGCAGGTGTTTAAACCGCGCACTCCCCCGGAGGCCATCGCTCTCTGCTCCCGGCTGCTGGAGTACACGCCTGCGTCACGCCTCTCCCCGTTAGAGGCCTGCTCTCACGCCTTCTTCGACGAGCTCCGCCAGCCGAACACGCGGCTGCCCAGCGGACGAGAGCTACCGATGCTGTTCAACTTCAGCACCACAGGTACGTGCAAACGCTGCTGAACTGTTTAAATCTTCTGTTCTGATGTCATTTTGTCCTAGCACGCCGATCATTTTAGTATCTGAACTTAACAGGAAATCCTTTGTTTTGTGCAGAGCTCTCCATCCAGCCTCAGCTGAATTCGATCCTCATCCCTCCTCACGCTCGTTCTCATACAGCTGCTTCCGTCCACGGTGGGAAACTTCTTCTACATCATCTAATTGTGAACTTTTATATTTTTCTCATGTTGCCACCAAATCAATTCAATTCAGTTTATTTCTATAGCGCCAATTCACAACACGTCATCTCAAGATACTTTACAGTCACCAGATTATCCAGCCAGATTGATTCAAAGTTTTCTGTCCAAGGAAAACCAGTTGATTGCATCGACTCATTGACTCGAATGTAAT